TAGTCACAACAGGAATAAAGTGTGCCGACTTGGTCAACCTGTCGACAATGACCCAAACTGCATTAAACTTCCTCAAGGTCCGCGGCAACCTAACTACAAAGTCCATAGTGATGCGTTCCCATTTCCACTCTGGTATAGTCATCTACTGAAGTAAGCCGCCTGGTCTCTGGTGCTCATATTTAACTTGCTGACAATTTAGACACCTAGCTACATACTCAACTATGTCCTTTTTCATTCGTCTCCACCAATAATGCTGCCTCAAATCACGATACATCTTCGTAGCACTTGGATGAATAGAATACCGGGAACTGTGTGCTTCCTCTAGGATCTTTTTCCTCAGTCCATCCACATTAGGAACACATAGACGATCCTGAAGTCGCAGAACACCATCCGCGCCAATAGTAACTTCCTTGGCACCACCCCGTAGTACTGTTTCTCGAAGAATCATTAAGTGTGGATCATCATACTGGCGAGCCTTGATCTGTTCAAATAGTGAAGACTGAGCTACAACACATGCAAGAACTCGGCTGGGCTCTGAAATGTCCAACCTCACAAGTCGGTTAGCCAAGGATTGAATATCCAAAGCTAATGGCCTCTCCTCTGCTGAAATGAAGCCAAACTACCCATACTCTCCGCTTTTCTACTCAAGGCGTCTGCAACCACATTGGGATGCACAATTAAAAAATAAAATAGCAATTACAATTTATTGAAACAATGTGATATATCCGTTTATAATTTCATAAGATTAACATTCTTTAAAATTATCCGTGCATCGCGCGGCTTCTAACACTGTATCCATCCTAGAAGAACTGAAGGCACAGATAAAGAAAGATCACTCCTTTTCCCTGCAAACTAGAAATGATCCCTATAAAGAGCATAAAGTAGAAAGAAAAATGAAGAAATAATTAGCTACTCTATGATATTTGTAAAATGATTCCTATAAAGAGCATAAAGTAGATAGCCCTTCAATCGAAAATACAACATGGCCTTCATGAGTTGAACATTCCAACTCGCAGAGCTCGGTCCATCATCACCAAGTATTTCAATGATAGATAGCCCTGCAGAATTAGATGAGATGACAGTTTAGTATATGGGAATCATTTTTTCAGCTCTGGCATTTCAAACCAGAGAATTCTCTTAGGAAGTGCTTTTTGGAGTACGCCATTTTATTTGCAGTTGATAAACTTCTATCACGTATAGTCAAAAGGATACCTTGATTTAATATTTTGAATTTGTACTTCCAAGTTCCAATTCTATTAACAAATTGAAATTGAAAAGGAAGTGTCACCAATCAGAATGTTTTTACCCTATTGCTTAATATATTTTGACAAGCCATTTCAACAAGTTTTCTCTGTACACGTTATTACTACAAGCTTACAGGCAAACACTTCTATACAGTATTCATTTATAGTACTCACGCATGCCTGTAGAGCTCGTCAGTGGATTTAGTTTGTCATCAGTGTTGTACAAAGCTTTCGCATGACATCCAGGTGCTCCAACTGATGTACTGAGCAACATCAATGATTAATTGAACTTTTTTCAGCAAAAATGATTATTTCCGAGACATTACAACCAAACATGTGAAATACTAAAAGAATGCAATTCATGGAGATTCTAGGCATCCAAACAAGTTGCTAGCATCTAAGTCAGGCATGAACTCGAAGCTTCTTTATCTGCACTTGTTTGGCAGCCTTTCATTCAAAATAATTTACTCAAGCAAGATTCCTTAAGGAGTTCTTTTCTTTTAAATATTTATGCAATCTGACAAGGATAAACCTATGAGAATTTTTATTTTTATGCAATTCAATATGGATAATCCACTCAACGTAAGCATACTTACTTCTTTGGGCAGGTAGCATAATCTTGGGAGCTTGGTGAAGTTCCTATTAGGACAATGGATCACAATACGTCCGAATGACAAGAATAAACAATTATACTCCTCAGCAAACTAGCTTTTGCCAGAATGCAAGTATAGTAGTATACTACCTTCTTTATGTTGAAGAGAGCCAACAGAGATGACTTCATTGGTTTGAATCACCGAAGAACGCTGTAGCATCTGATTGTGTGGAGTAAAGGCATTTCCCTCATAACTATGCCTTGCTTACATAGTGATGCAAAAGAAAATTAGGCCACAAAAGGGGGATTATGAATCGCTGTGCAGTTGAAGGGAAGAGGTATGACTCATCACATAAGGAAAATAGACAAAATGCAATTTAACATGTTCACATTGCATCTGATTGTGTGGAGTAAAGGCATTTCCCTCATAACTATGCCTTGCTTACATAGTGATGCAAAAGAAAATTAGGCCACAGAAGGGGGATTATGAATTGCTGTGCAGTTGAAGGGAAGAGGTACGACTCATCACATAAGGAAAATAGACAAAATGCAATTTAACATGTTCACATTGCACAATCAAATTTTGAGTCAAACCCATATTGAAATCTCTAATTGATAAAACATGTATATTAGGTTGTTTGATATCACTGAAAGACTTATGAATGGTAGTAAAGACACTCATGAAAGAAGAATTCTAACAGTACCTGATAAAATTAATTGCTCAAAGACATTAAATGCTAATGAAGCTGCATACTTTTGCAACTAGTTCAGAAGTTTACTTTGAGTTTTGAAGAAAGTGAAAATGCACATCATTCATTTTGATTTTCAATAATTTAAGGGATTTTAACTCCAAAGGCTGAACAGATTGAGATACAAACTTCTTTGAGAAGTAAGATATCTCACGTAATATCTCTGTACCATTCCAAGTTTATCGGATGCCCCAAAAGGGACAATCGCTTACATAATATCTCTGAGCTAACTCGTAAGAAGAAACATGAACAAGCATCAAATGCTATTGCCAATCACCCTAAAACACACATAAGGATTTATTATATGCTTAAAGTTTTTGGAGAGATGAAAAATTGAGGTCAATGTACCTGAGTGGACATTTGACTTATGTTCCCCAGAACCTGTAGATAAGTTTAGTAAACTCCGAATATCCAGTGAACGACTACTCTTTTCTTGCTGATTACATCGGATTTTCTCCTCAAAGAAGCTCTCTCTTGCATCTTTTTTCTGCTGCTCTTGCCGTTTTCTTTGCTCAAAGTATTGTTGTTGCCTATAAGATAGACCAACTACATCTTAGTCTAAATCCCTGTATATTGAGTTAGACAACATTCTCTAAGAATCTTTACCAGTGTTGATGTTGAGGAAAGCTAAAACTATTATCAGAACAAATAAAGACAGTTGTGTGATGTTTCAATACCTTTTCTGCGTTGACCTTCTTGACTAATATTTTTCCATCCCGCGAAATAATAACACAAATCAATAGAGAAAGCATCAATATGAGAACATTTCCCAAAGCAATAAGATTAATAACTTACTGAGAATGATGGAAACAAATCAAACTTGCAAAAGAACAAGCTGATACCCTTCAAGGAAAGATGAATATTTTTTTTCTTATATCTTTTTCCTTTTTAATTTTGGGGGGTGGTTTGAGTTGACCATTATCACAACAAATCTGCAACCTGGCTTGTACACCATTAAACTCACGTAAAGGAAGTGTAAGAGGTTATCTTTTTCGAAAGAAGAGTTCTGCCAGGACTAAATGGATTAACGATATTTTAATTCTTTTAAGAGTATGTTTGAGCTCCTAATCTTTAAAGGGTGATCTTCATCTTTCAATAATACATTATATAACTCCTCATTTGAACTGTACTAACCACACTTTTACGTTAAAATCCATTACCAACTCCAGAGAGATGCGCTACTAAAGATCAACTAACAAACCACACTAATGAGCATTGAGCTGCAGTTCTACCTAACTGCAATTTGCTCAATTGTGCTTCCAAAGTACCCCATGAAAGAAATAATTTATTTCCGTAAAAGAAAAAAGAAAGAAACAATTTATTTTCCAAATTCAGAAATATGCAGGTATATCTACAGGATAACAAGTTATTTCCTTTGACACTTACAGTATCGACTTTCCTCCTTGACCCACACATCCATTGTAACATTGTGGCAGAAATCTTCCTTGCAGCCTCCACTAAATCGTGAAGAGATAATTACAGAAGGACCAGAGGGGAAAAAGAAGGAAATGATTCCCATATACTAAGTGAAACAATCTCTCAGGTAGGTCAAAATCATATGAGTTTTACAGGCTAGTAATAATAAGTTAAAATATACAATGGCTAATCTCTGCCTCCAAAATTTAACATGCTAGATGATTATAAAGTGGAGAAAATGTCATAAATATTCTTCTATTATTACTTACTTAATGATGAGTTTCACTATAAGTTTTAATCAGAAACTCGAAAACAGATATAATCATCTTATCGACATATACAAGAAAGCTAATGAAATTACAAACTTTTGATGTACTCCTATAAAAAGATCACTCAATACCTAGCCAATGACACATGGAAACTAGATTGCCTCCACAAAATGCCATAGCATCAGTCAAATCACATAATCCAAGTTTTACCTTCCAATTACCAAAAGACATGCTCACCTACTGCAAACCAGCAACTGTTCTAGGATACCATTCAAATAGAAGATGCATTTCGAATTTTGATGTCAAGTCCATAATTATCCCAACAACAACAACATACCCAATATTATCCCACACCGTGGGGTCTGGGTAGGGTAGTGTGTACGCAAACCTTACCCCTACCTTGTGAGGATAGAGAGGTTGTTTCCAACCTACCTTGGGAGGATAGAGAGGCTATTTCCAATAGACCGTCGGCTCAGGAAAGCATAAGCACCACATTAATGAAAATATAGACAAGAAGGGACAGCACCAAAAAGCCATATAAAAGCAGAATAAAAACAACAAGATGGTAAGGTGATCAACAATGAAAGAAAACAACGGTTAGTCATAAAAACCTACTACCAACAGAAAGCGAGACTACGTACCAAAACTACTTCTATGAACACTCTAGACTACCTACCCTACTACCCTAATCCTCGACCTCCACACCTTCCTATCAAGGGTCATGTCCTCGGTCAGCTGAAGCTGCGCCATGTCTTGCCTAATCACCTCTCCTTCGGCCTATCTCTACCTCTCCGTAGGCCCTCCAATGTCAACCTGTCACACCTGCTCACCGGGGTGCATGTGCTCCTCCTCCTCACATGACCAAACCACCTAAGCCGCGCTTCCCGCATCTTATCCTCAATAGGGACCACTCCCATCTTGTCGCTAATAAACTCATTCATAATCCTATATACCCGGTGTGTCCGCACATCCATCTCAACATACTCATCTCTGCTGCCTTCATCTTCTGGACATGAGCGATCTTGACTGACCAACACTCAGCCCCATACAACATAATCGGTCTGGCCACCACTTTGTAGAACTTACCTAAGTCCATAATTATCCCATATATAACAAATCAGGACAATTAGAAGAAACGGAGATGGACTTTACCAGTATTATTAACTGAATCCTAGATAATTCCAAGTGAAAAAAAATAACAATAAACAAATTTCAAGTTAAAAGGAGTGATTACTCGGTTTACAAATTAATTGAGGATAAGCACTTAAATGACTAATAGAAAACGAGATCTGACATACTAATGCATTTATGAATCAAAATGAAGGGAAAATATGTGGGTGTTACCTCTCAACAACGATTTCTGAGAGGTATTTGCACAAATATGCAGATCAATGCCTTGAGGATTTTGCAGTTAGTGTCAAGCTTTGCAGTTCTCGTAATGGACCTTCTAAAGAATGAAAAAAGGAGATTCATAGGCCTTTCGTTCCTAAACAATACGTTTCAAACTCAAGCCAGTAAATTTTCCAAAAGGAAAATGCATCAATATCCGAATTCCGGTATTATATGGACTGAAATGTACTGAGACTCTGTGTGTATGTGTATCGATAGAGAGAAAAGACGAACGGAGATGTATTTTCCAGAGCGTACGTATATGTATATAAAGACGAAAATATGAAGAGAGATGTATATATGTATATATACACTGAACAAGAGCGTACGTATAACAATTAAGAGCGTACGTATAACAATTAAATTTGTACGTGATTTTAAGGATATGTGAATTGATTCAACACAAGTAATCAAGAATGTAAGATAAGCGAAGTAAAAACAAGATAAATAACCAAACCAGTTTACGTTGAGTCGGGGCTAGGATTTAGGCTTAACAGTAGTTTCCCCCTCAACCAGACCCTCAATTCGAAGCCAAATATATATGAAGAGCTATGGTTCAAATAAGAACTTTTAAATAATTAAGAAGCATAGAAACAAGTTTGTATTGCCTTGATATGTGTGTTACAGTGTCCATTGAATAAGAAATTTTCCCTTTATATAGTAGGGGGTTTTACCCTTACTACAATTCTAAAAAAGGTAAAAATACTCCTTGTACATCAATTACTCATACGCTACCGACATCGGGCGAGATTCGCGCCCTAATATCTGGTTGGGTGCGGATATCAGCCTTGATATCCGGTTGGGTGCGGATATCACAACCCTTTGTTAGTCGTGTGCAACCGTTTTGTAGCGCTTTCCGAGGTCATGGGGCTCGTACCGGGTTCGGGGGGTATTGTCTCATCGGGACCGGTGGCGAGCACTCCGTTCGGGCCTTAGTACGAGAAGTTCCCAACTTCGATTCCGATCCCACGTAGTCGTATTTTTACTTCGTTTGTCCCGCCGGGAAATCAGGGTGCTCATTTGCCCCGGTTTTACCCGTATACAAATAGCTATCAGAATAAAATGAATGACCTAATTGAATTGGAATATAATTTATGATCGTTATCCGGCCAACGGAATACAAACAAATTTTCACTTAATTACTCATATGTTAAAACTATAGTGTTATCTCTCTCCTAAAATAAATTTTCTTTTTGCAACTGAGAAATAAAGATAGAAAACAAAATCACTATAATTGGCTACTAGGTAGAGGGGAAAATAGAAGCTCCATTGGATGCAGCTGAAAGAATCAACATTACCGTTACACAAATTTTCAAGTCATAAAAGAATATCAAGATTACCGTTAGACAAATTTTCAAGTTTTATAAGAATATTTGATACACTTAAATTAGTAAAAAGACATTCATAACCTAAAAGCTCAGTTCCAAGGATAGCAGGAAAAAAGACAGTTTGATCGAATACTTAGTCAAGTCCACGGTATCAGAATTTATGACATACTTCACTTATAAACAAGACGTTCATTAAAGGGCATGCCAGTAAAATAAAAAATTTCAGTCTCAAACAAGTTGCTCATTATTCTGATGCCAGTAAAAATAAAACAGGTTAATATTAGTTACATCAGACAAAAATAGGTGAGTCTGTCAAATCAATAATTTCAAGACAAGCCGTAGAAAGTCTTCTTTTCTTGCTGTCTCCACTTACCTTGTAGCATGGAGGAGTAAAAACATCAATAACCTCAACTCCACTAGACAAACCAGCATTCATGCTCTGCTGACAAAGTTTACCACCAAATTCTTCGTTCAATTCGAATTTGTCCCTTATGTTGTCTGTTATACCATAGCAACCACTTTGAATTGAGGATGGTGCATTCACCGGCGAGTCAATGATAATATATGTCTGCTCGGGATCCTCTCTATGGGTTGTGCTATATTCTTCAGCATGTTCGTAAAGTTCTTCTCTCCAATCAAGATGTTCATCGATATTTTCTGCAGCGCTACTAGCAGAACTATCAGAAGTTGTGGATCCTGCAGATCCTCCGTCTGTTAACTTTTCACTGCTCCCCACATAATCGTCACTGTTTTCCCAATCATTGGTTATATACTCATTCTTGTCAATTCCTGTATAACAGGGAAGTTCGTCCAGCGCACAAACTTGGACTCTCATGTGCTCTGGAATATTAGGGCAACCGGCTGAATGCATCTTGTATTTTGTGGAGAAGAAATTTACGGTGAGATTTAGGCTGAACATAGAAAACAAAACTAATGAGACAAAATTCATTACGGCTTGTAAGTCCACCTCAGGAAAGCTGAGCAATAAATTTCATACCTTTGCCACTCAGGGAGAGTAAGCATTGTATATGCCAATTTAATCTTGTTAGCAACTCCTCCAAGAGATTTGAACGATGCTGCTGCCTGTCTAACTGCACGGGATTCTACTGGATGCTGCCACGCCCACTCAAACTGCAACATTCAATTAAGAAAACAATTAAATTGATATCTCCTACCAGCTTCAGTTGGTCTATCCTTAAAAAATTCAGGTTACAAAGGGAATTTGCATAATGTAAAGTTTCAAAAAATGAACCTTTTTGTAACATCTAAAACCTCCTGAAATTCCAACAGTTTGCGCTATTTCTCAATTGGTTCACTTGAAGTTAAGTTGAAAATTTCCCCTTTGTTTATTTCACATGAGAATTAAGCCAACAACAAACATTGGGGAAGTTAGATTTTTGCATTAAGAGATTCAATGTGAGCGAGCAGAGGTAACCAACTAAATTCATGATTATGAAAACAGTTTGTAGCGTTTGGATTTATTTTCAGCTTTCTTTTAAAAGTATTATGGTCTAGGGATTGGTTTCTCGAGAACTATGTGCATGTTTGGATTTGGGTTCTGAAAATTGGTTTCTCGAAGACAATGTGTATGTATATTTGTGTATAGATTTGATGGAAAAGTACGCTTTTTAAAAATTTTAATTAAGATATATTTTTGCTTTAAGTTTCCACAAATTAATCTTAGTTTCATTTTTCCAGGTAGTGTAACTAAACAATAATACTCTACAGCTATTCAGGACCTGATTGACTTTTTTTTATCTAAAGATTATTTCAAAACTATACATCACAAATATTTCTAAAACAACAAAAATGTATTTCAGAGCTGTTACCTAAGGCCAATTTTGAAAAACCAAATCCAAACATGTATTATGCACATAGCTAAAGAACACGGGAGAGAGAGGTACCTGGAGGGCAGATACGTTTGTGGAGAAGCCATAAATGCATAAAACCATCTCCCAAGGACGCTTCTTCTTTGTCCTGAAAGCACCCATCCTCACTTCTCCATTGTGTTGTCGTATTCTACGGCGAGGATTCACTGTAAATCTGCACCAACGATGGATTACAATCCTGCTCTATTCATGGATAATCCATTATGTTCGAGAGGAAAATAAATTTTTATTTATTACTTGAATTTAGGACTTCAAATATAAATTAAAGGATATCAACCTGCAGACAACAATAATGTTCAAGAAAAATAACCTGGTTGCAGAAAACAATTTAAAAAAGATTCAAATTTTCATAAACCTCTCAAAGAACAATTTTTCTATGGCAATGTAGATGATTATCATTTCAAATTAGGCAATCTGATAAAAACTGTGCGAGGAAAAAAAAATAAACAAGGTTTGCCAAGTGTTAGCTTTAATTAAATTTGGATCTAGGAAAATAAAAAAGAGAAAGAAAATGAAATGAAATGAAATGAAATGAAAGGGGATAAGATGTAACGAAGTAACCAAAGCTCCCCAATCGGAACCCTAATCTGATGGATTTCATTATCAGTAGCTGTGTGCCAATGATTAGAACTAATTAACGAGAAAGATAAAGGAAGAAGAGGAAACGAACCCGATGTAAGTGTGGCCCTTGAACCTGGGGCACATAGACGTTAGCAAATAGCAGGCGAAGAATCTGCTTTCTGCTCCTGCTCCTGCTTCAACTTGTTCACTCAAATTCACTTCTTTTCCCTCACATCTTCCAACTTTCTTCTGCTCTCTCCCCTTCCGTTTCCCCATCTCTCTCTCTCTCCTTTCTCTTTCTCTTTCTCTGTGAGAATGTGTGCAAACAGCGGAGCGTTTGGATTCCTTCTGATCACGCGAAATTCGACCGTTGTGATGCGGGTTTCAATTTTCCCGTTCCTTATGTTACGGCCTTGTGGGCCTCGTGACATGATAATTCGGGTGATTGAATGTTTATAAAATTAGTGGTATTTAGAAAATTGACACAGCCGAATGTTTATAAAATTAGTGGTATTTAGAAAATAGTCCCGACCAGCATACAATTATTGCTCTTGAGTGATTTTTTTACCGGATTGGCAGAATTTATATTATATTTACTCTAATTACCGAATTGATAGAGTTTATGCAATATTTATTCTACCTATCTGTTTAATTTTTCATCGAAATTTACCCCGATTGGTATATTTTGTAGTATTTGAGCCTCGTTCCCCTATTTGATGCTTCCCGTATATGTGTTTGTAGTTTTGTGACTTGAGGGTTGATTGATTTGGCTTCGGAAAGGTGCGGGAGTGATTTGGAATACTGTGTTATTGTGGGAAGTTTAAGTTGTGAGAGTTGACCGAGATTTGACTTTTGTGTAAACGACCTCGGAATGGTATTTTGAATGTTCCAATATGTTTGTATGGTGATTTTGAATTTAAGCGTATGTTCAGAAAAGGATTTGGAAGTTCTTAGTACGTTTTGGTGCTATTTACCAAAAGTTGGCAATTCGTAGGAATAGAGAGTTCATAAGTTTGACCGGGAGATTGACTTTGGGGTTATCATATTCGAATTTTGGTTCTGAAAGTTTGAATAGGTTTGTTTAGTCATTTGGGATTTGTGTGCAATGTTTGAGTTCGTTCCAGATTGTATAGGCTTGAATCGAACGTTTGATTGAAAGTCGGCAATTATGAACTTAAGAGATTGATCTTGATCGACAATTCGTGGTTTTAATGTTAATTTCAGTATTTTGATCTTTTGGATTGATTATGGAGATTTTGTATCAAACCACCACTATTATCCTTAGCTCTACGGTGGGCGCCAAACTGTTTACTCTTAAAACGGATAACAATTGAATTTGTACGCGGTTTTAAGGATATGTGGATTGATTCATCACAAGTAATCAAGAATGTTAGATAAACGAATTAAAGATAAAATGAACAAACAAACCAGTTGTGACGTTAAGGCCGGGCTCGAATTTGAGCTAAACAATGGTTTTGTCCTCGACCGGGCCCTCAATTCGAAGCCAAATGTATATAAATAACAATGATTAAATTAAGAACTTTTCAATAGCTAGAAAATAAAAAAATAAGGCTGTAATGCCTTGATATGCGTGTTACAATGTGTTCATTTAATAAAAAGTTTCTCATTTATATAGTAGAAGAGTTTCATCCCTAGTACAATTCTAAAAAGGGTAAAAATCCTCATTTCTCGTCAATTACTGATACACTACCGACATCGGGCGAGATCCGCATCGTGATATTCGATTGACTAAGATTATATCACGGCCCTCTGTTAGTCGTGTGAAACTGTTTGTAGTGCTCTCCGAGGTCTTGGAGCTCGTTTTGGGTTCGGGGAGTATTGTCTTGTCATGCCCGGTGGCGAGTCCCCCGTCGCAGCCTCGATCCAAAGAGTTCCCAGCTTCGGTCTCGATCTCATATATTCATACTCTTACTTCGTTTGACTTATCGGGAAGTCGGGCGTGCACTAACCCCGAGATCACCCGTATACAGAGTTAAAATCATTTCAGATTAACCTTATATTTATCTTTTTAAAAGTTGTCAATGATACTCCACTTATATTGCGATCTCATTCACTGGATCCATATTGACTTTGAATATATCAACAAGTAATATCTATTCTCAAATTTGTGATAATCCGCATTCTACAAGTAAGGTTTTTAAATCACATATAGATTCTGAATCATAGCTTCGGTTCTCGCAAATGATTTAATTTTTACAAAATATATGACTAATGTTTCCATTCAAAAAAACTAAACACACGTTTTTAGTAAGGTTTGTTGGGGATTAAATCTGAGTTTTACTGCAACTTGTACAACTCAAATTCAACCCTCAACAAGGTTAAAGAGAGTATGATTCACGGAATATTTGATGTGCAACAGACTAACAACACACAAAACCAGAAATCGTCTCAAAGAAAAAAAATTACAACCTTTAACCTATTTGTTTTTTTTCCTTCTCAATTAAGAAATATTCTCTATGTTTACACTTCGAATCGGATAACAATTGAATTTATACATGGGTTTAAAGATACGTGATATAACTTGGTACAAATTAAGAGAATAGATTAATATTGAAATTGACAATAAAGGAATAAATGCAAACTACACGAATCGAACAGCCTTGGCCCTCGAGTTTGATCACCCTTGAACCAACTGATGTTTCAACTGATGTATGAACATAGTAACAAGATGATGAAAGCTAGAAAATGACAATGTATTGCTTTATGTTACGTAATGCGATGCTTTTTACAAATGATCAGACCCCCTTTATATAGTAGGGGAGTCCTACTCTTGATACAATTCTATATGAGGTAAGAAATCTCATGATTAGCTAATTAATTGGCCTATCCTTGATACATGCCGAGATTTCCGCTGTGATCTACAACTGATTGTGAATATTTTGTCCTTTTGTTATTCGGTTTGGCAAATTTTCCTTGATCTCGCCTAACCTCGATTTTTTTAAGTATTTATACCTACCCCTTTACATTGAGTCCCTTAGACCCGATAATTATTGCCTTCTGCAAGAGGTACGATGTGACTCTTGGCCAAATTCACCCTTAATTTTGGATAATAGTGATTCTCCTTCGATTCTTCGTAAACAAAACTGAGGGGTGTCCCTTCACCCTCGATCACCTTATGCGTCTCTACAGTCCCCGACTCTATCGAGAGGGGCTAATCAAGCTTGCTCGCCGAGCCAGTAGGGCCATGTTCTCGAGTATAGATGAGGCTCAGGACAGAGGTTGGATGGGCCATTTTATTTGAATAAAGAGTTCATATTTGATCCCTGCCGAGGACATTCCTTTTCCCGAGAAATGGAACATGAAACGTAAGTATTACTTTGCCTTGAAGATTTAATCTATTGTTTCTCCTCTTATCTCCTTTCTTATGGGTGTTTTTGGTATTGCAGTTGTGGCCCAGATGCCGGATGTGGTTCCTCAACTCAAGGAATGGGTCAAGGATCTTGTGTCACAGAGACCATACTCCGAGCATGCTTGGATGGAATTATTGAAGGGTCGGTGGGAGGCCCGTAATCATGGTAAGTTTACTTTTCTGGTTCGATAAGGTTTTGACTTTCTCGTTGTGTTGTCGAATTCTTATCGGCTCTATTTTCTTTTGTAGGTCTCCCAAGGACGTTGCTATGAGGCCTCCCTCCGAAGGTGGAGATGTGCCTCTCGAGTCCCCTGCTTCAAAGCAAGGTGACGAGAAGAAGAGAAAAAGGGCCCCGAGCTCTCTAGACTCGGAGAAGAAAAAACCAAAGAAGAGGCTGGTGCGTAAAGCCAAGGAAAGTACCAGCGCCCTCCCATTAGACTCGATCCGCCGACTGAGGGATGAGTCTAAAGAAGAAGAATAAGATAACTCTGAGTTAGTGGCTCGAGTGCGGACCGCTTTGCCCCGAACTGAGGAGGTTGTTGAGAAGGCATTGGCCGGTACCTGCGAACCGGAACGGGATAAGGCTGCCTTGCCCAGGCTAGGGAGGTCGAGAGAGAGACCGGGGCTGACACTTCTCGGGCAGAGGGAGGTACCTTGAGGGACGATCTTGGGGCGATCGACCTTACCGGGTCCCCTCAGATCTCAGACGCCATGATACACGAGGCTGGTATGCTAGAAAGTCGTTCTTACGAGGGGCCTTAGGGGACGACTGATATCCACAGCTTCTTGGCTGGGTTAGAGTCCGCTACCTCAGAAGATATCACTGGGCTTGGTGACTTGCCGGTGCCAAGGAAGGTACCATTATCGGATGCCAGTGGGTCTTCATCGAGCCCAAAGCTAGTGGATCGGTTCCCGGCCCCGAGTGTTAACCCTGACCGCAGGTGGTCGATAGTTTTCTCTGTCCCGGAGGATGCCCGGGTTTTCTCTGCCCCCGTGGGGGTTTCTAGCTACCTCAGTTGCTTGGTGACCGAAGAAGACCAAGTCGTGATGGACGTGGTGGAAGTGTCTTGCCTATTTAATGATGCCCAACACGCTTTGAATCGGGTAACTTCGAGTGTTACTTCATTATAAATTTGAAGTTGCAAATAATCCTAACACCTTTCCTTACGCTTGCAGGCCTCGGTATTGCACCATGAGGATTTTCTCTAAATTCAAGGGGAGTTAACCCGTCACATGGCTGACATTCGGGAGCTCACCAAGAAGAGAGATACTTATAAGCTTCTGAGTGAGAAGCTTCAGACCAAGTTAGATACGGCTCGGAAAGAGCATACCGAGTGGGCCAAGCAGGTAAATCGAGTACTTGAAGATAGTGATGACGAACTGGACTTAGTGGCTAACTATCTGATCTTGCAGGTTCGACAAAGGCTTGAACAAATCGGGCAGCTCCAAGCACAGGTATACGCGATACAAACTGAGGCCAAGGAGTTCAAGAAAAACATGGACCTCGTAACCTTGCAAAAGGAAATTGTCCAAGCACAACTGGCGTCGGCCGAGGCTCAGCTTCGGGCTGTAAAGGAGAAGACCTCGGTGCAGGCCAAGAAGATCGAGGAGCTCCAATCTGAGCTTAAGTAGGCTATTTCTGGCCACGGAGCTCGAGGCGGCCAAATCTGAGGTGGCCGAGGTCAATATTAAGGCTGATGCTAAAGTGGCCCAATTCTAGGTTGACGTCGAGGCTATTCAAGCACAGGCCAAGAGTATGGTGAATCATGAAAGGTGGGAAGCTCGAAGGGAAGCCCTCGAGGGAGTTCATGCTCAGGGCTTTGATATACTGGCGGAAATCGAGAATGCCAAGGTAGAATAAGCTAGGGCCCGGAAGCTGGCTTTTCCCGAGGAAGGCTCCGAGAGCTTATCTGAGTCTAAAGGTGGGGGAGACCCCGAGGATGAGGACGCTGCCTCCGATGAGGATCAGGCCACTTAGGTCTTTAGATGCTTTTATGTTTTGCTTCTTGCATCGTTTTTAGGCCGATTTGGCCATTGTACATTCCTATATCGGGCCATT